AGAATTCAGTTTTAATTAGAAACATTTTCATTTTCTGATTATTACTCTTACTTTAATTTAACCATAAATTTTACATTTACATTTTAATGTATTTTCATAGCTTTTAAATAAGTTCATCAGTAACATATAAACTAGTAAGCATAAAGCTAAAATCATATAGCTGTTAACATTTTGAATGAAAAAGGAAATAAAAAATTCTGGTTCTTGTGTTTTTAAACCAAAGAAATATTATTTATGAATAATAAAATATTGATAATAATAGAACAAAAACATTTTTTTAAAGAACAGAGAAATTAAGGACATAAAGACATGAAGGCAGTGTCCTTACCAACTAATTAAGGCCTATATGACCTTGGATCAGTCACTTAAATGTTATGGAACTCAGTTTCCTTATCTGTAAATGTACCAAGGTGTAGATGGACCAACTGAATTCTAATATTTAATATGATCCTAAAACTAAGACTATGCTGCCTTGTTGTATTATGATTAAAACATATATTAGAGCCTAAATAATGACTGAAAATTAGTATGAGTAAGACAATAAACGAGAGGTCATTCATTATTCGTGGCATTTTATATTTTCTTTAGCCCAGAGAATGATGCATAGCTTTATTTCTAAACTGATCAAATGGGGCTAGATTTTATATTCCTAGTTTATTTTATGCTAATTATAATTTTTAAGTGTCAAATTCCATGATAATATACAAAATAAAACTTGTTAATATGTAAATTTAATATATACATAAAAACATAAAAATGCTACTTATTTGTGGGGTATCATGTGAAATTTTAATACATGTATTTGTTATATATATATATAAATGTATGTGCATATATATATGCATATGTAATAATATGTATATATTTATGCATGTAATATATAAATCAGAGTTAACATTTATTTCCTCATTTCTCACTTTTTATGGTGAAAACACTCAAAATTCTTCTAGCTTTTTGAAATATCATTTTCTGTGGTTATATAATTGTACAATAGCACACCTTAATTTTTTTCTGTCTAGCTATAACTTGGTACCTGTTGATCAACCCTCCCCATACACACACTCCCCAGCCTTGGACCCCACATTTGTTGAAACACTATGAACAGTAGCCAAGTAATGGAAACAAGCTAAGTGTCCATCAAGTGATGAATGGATAAAGAAAATGTAGTACATATATACAATGGAGTACTATTCAGCCTTAAGAATGATACCCTGTCATTTGTGACAATAGTGTTTGAACCATTCATTCATCTTTCATTTGAACTACTAAGTATTGATATCATGGTAATAACTCAAAGAGACCTGGTTCCGGACTACAAGAAACTTATGAGGAATAATATTAAGTGTAGGAGGGAGTTCATTCTACTATGATACCTTGTGTGTTTACATGATCAGTCTTTTCACTTGTATAGTACATGAATATAATGGATTTTTCTGACCTTTACTATTATTCATAACTTCAGCCTTTATTTACTCCAAGGGATAGTTGTGTTTTAAATGTACAATATATTCATAGCTAGGATTTAGGATTTAGGGTAGAAAAGACGTTAGAATTTCCTATTTTCTTCTTTGGTGTTGCTTGACACTCAATTCCTGCAATTATGTATCTATCATCTTAGTTCTATTTGAGGAATTCTTTTTAATGCTTAGAAGAATTATAAAGTCATGTCCTTGGTATGAATATTTAGAAGGATCTTTAATGCAATAAAATTTTAATGACATTTGAAGAATAAAAAGGAGTATCCTTAACTAGAAGATTAAAAAATAAATGTAAAAAGGGTACATGTATGAAACCCTATTTATTAATGCTTATAGATTAATAAGTGTCTTTACATTCAAAACCAAATATATATTATAATAAAAAACAATACTTTGAGCACTCTTAATCACTTGCTATTTTAAGGAATGCTGAAAATACTACAATGTCGATTCTGTGTCAAATTACAAAAATGACAAATAATATAATATAAATATAGGCAATATTGGACTATTTAGAATTAGCAAACCTACCACTTTGCATGTGGAAAAACAGAGAGGATAAAAAGCCACCCAGCTGAGATTAAATCTAATCTGATCAGAGTCCATACTTTAGTCAGCATGTTCCTATTTCATTTAAGCCAGAGATGCAATGTGATTACTTCTATTGAGACTCTCAGTTCACCTCTGACTTGACATTTAGTGACCATGTAAAAATAAATCATTTAACCTTTGCAAACCTCTATCTCATTATTCTTCCAAAGATAAAAGTGTTACCTGTCTCTTTGAGTTGGCAAGATTAGATGAGATAATGCAGTTAAAAAAAAATCATAATCCATCTAGTATATGACTCCAATAAGTTGTAGGAGATGAGAAGAGGCAGAAGAGCCTGAAAATTTTACCAAGGAAGTGAAATTTCAATCCAGTCTAGAAAATGAATAACATTTACCAGCATAAGAAGAAATGCAGGCAGCTTCTAAGAGATGTGAATAGCCTTTTTACTGGGCAGAGGTAGATTCACTGTGTTCTGTCCAGTCCCTCTCTCACCTCCCCCAGACTCTTCTCATCTAACTCATCTCCCTCAAATCCTGCTGTACTGGTTAATGTACTAGTCTCACATCTGCTTTAGCACCTGCCCTCTTGCTGTTGCCTTTGAGATTTTCTTTCCTTTAATATAAACCATAGCTAACTTCTTCATCTTCAGGTTTGCTAAAATGTCACTAACTCAGTGGTTCTTTTGTGGCCACTCTGCTTACAGTTGTAAATTGTAGCTGCTCCCAGTCCCCCAGATCACATTTCTGATTCTCTGGGCCTGGTTTCCATTTTTGTAGTTGTTATCATTTATTACCTTTTCCCACACTGTATTACAGAATTGTATGTGATTTTGTTGTTGTTGTTTACTTTTTTATCTTCTACAAGTAAAAGGTAAATTGCTTGAAATCAATGCTTTGTTCTCAGACATATTTCACACACATAGAGTAGACCCTGGCCCATATACATACTCAACAAGCATTTTTTTGCATTAACAAAAGACTGATTGAAAAATCCTTGATGATAATGACACCTGCTTTCCTTGTGCTGAAGATGAGAAAAGAAACATTTTTTCTCCCAGACAGTTGTCCTGGGGCACTGTTGGAACCAAGCATAAATTACCCATAAAGACTATGCTGCCTTTTCTTTGAACTCAGATACTCCTGGGCTACAGACCTACTTACTCTGCCTCTCATCCCCTTCTTCACAACTTTGTGCTGTGTCTATCCCTCCTTCGCTCTGCTTCAGGAACAAGCCTCCCTTGCCAGCAATGATAACAGGCATCCCCTGTTGATTTCAGCATGTTCTATGCACTTCAATTGTCGCAAAGTCTCCTCTCCTGACCATACACCAGTAAAGTAAATTCCTTTTACATTTCCTTAATGTGAGAAGGAGAATCATCTCTTTGTGCTTTCCCAAACCTTTACCAGATTTCATGGGTTCTTCCCTTCTTGAAGGATGCAACCTTAGAAAATGCATCAGAATTTACCTCCTCCACACACTTTTGGATGGAACCAGATAGACATGTTCCCAGCTTTGCTACTTTATTATTGAGTGGCCTTGCCCTGTGCCAGTTGCTTCATCTGTGATAATGGAGAAAATGGAGATGACACCTTCTTAAAGGATTGTTTTGAAGGTTAAATGAGTTCATACTCCTTCAGTGCACCTGGCATACCATTATCTTCCATTATATCAAACCCACTCTTTTCCAACTAATTTTTCCAACTTTCTCCTCTATTTTGTCCCTTTTTTCAACTCAGAAATGAGATTTCAGAATGGTAGCAGGTGAAGAACACATAGCTGAAACCCTGAATTGTAAGAATAAGATAGTGTGAAAGAGGAGCAGTCTCAATACTACACACATTGTGAAAACTGACTTCATTCTTTGACTCATTTAGGATGTCTGATACTGATAAGCAAAGACAGATATTGGTCTCGACATTATTGGAAGGAAGGTGTATCAGGAAAGAAAATAAGTATAAATTATAGTGATTCAATAACCAATGTAAAATGTATATTATGTTTTGTCTGATTTTTTAAAGGCATAAGTTCTAGACTACAGTATTTTGTATTTGTAGTTTTCTGCGGGTAACTGTGATATGATGGATATGTTAATTAATTCCAGTATAGTAACTATTTAATATGTATTTAATTTATAACATCATGCGTACCTTAAGTGTACATAATAAATTTTACATAGCTAGATTAGTTCAGACATTTTGGTCTAAATAGGCACATGTAAGTGCTTTAGGGATGTAGGATATATATTACATATATATATATATATTATTTATATGAAAAAACTTCAGATTCCAAATATTGAGTGTATATGTGTACTTTTATAAAATATATTGGGGACTTTATTAATTCTTTGATTTGTAACATATGATTAACTTTTTAAAATGCAACAGTATTACCAAGAAATCCCTATGACAATTTTAAAAATGCTTTAAATGGTAGATTTAAATACTTTCACTTATGTCAAAATCTTACACCTTAGCATTTTCCTTCTCTTTTCTCCATAATTTTGAGGCAAAAAAAGAAAAAAGAAAAGAGAAACTTTGTAGTAGCAAGTTTGAACCTTTAAGAAGTAGAGGGCACATCACCCCTCTTTGGTCTTTCAGCACCTAACCCACCACCATGGTCACATTTATCATCATTGTACTTCACCATTAAATCTGTTTATTCATCAAGGGGAGGCAGAGTTGCTAGCAGGTATCTGTGTTAGATCATTGCTGTAGACCTGTTTGTCTAGACTAATGAAACATCAGTATCTAGTGTCTCCTGTTGGCAACTCCTGTCTTCCATCCAGCATCAATTCTGATTTTTTTTTAATTTTTATTTATTTATTTTTTAATTTGAAAAGTATTGACTGACAAAACCATTTAGGTAAAATAGTTGTCATTTTCATGTCTATTGTTTCTATCATTGTATGATGTTGATGTAGCTTTATTCATCAGATATTTTGTATTTCTTTAACATTTCATTCCACAGGCACTCCAGAAAGTCTGAAAGATCTAGCATCCAAAAACAGACTAGGAAAGGCACTGCCTCTGATGCAGAAAGGTAGGCTCGGTGTTGTGCTGTGCTGCGGTCCTTCCTTCTTACAGTCAGGGCATTCCTCTCTCATGTCACTTATGCAGTTCTTAAACACAGGTTGTGATGTTTAAAGAATTTCATGTAAATAATTTTGCCCCTTTGTGGGAATAGTCTCATTGAAGAAATAAGGGGTATTTTGGAGGTTTAAAAGAAAATCACATTCTTTTAATGGTCATTCTGATTATTAATGAGGATTAAACCCACATTCATTTTTATATACTATTGGGACTTTCTTGTTTGAGAGATTATATTAAATATTTCCACGAACATAATGCCTGGAATATGCAAATCTGTTAAATACGTGTTATGTATATGAATAATGTCATCTTTGAAAAAGTCTCTTTTCTTCAAAAGGATAATCTGTGACTCTTGTGTTTTGTAACCATAGACAAATGCTGATTTCATGCAAAAATTATAAGGAATTACTGACTTGTGTACAATTCATCACATTCCACATATTTTTTTAGTAGTTTTAGGAACAATATTGCAGAAAACACTTATAAATCCCAAATAACACATTCGTTTGTTCAGATTAATAAAAATATGAAGTATTATAATATTATATAAGAATAATATAAGAATATGTTTAACAATAACATATTCAGTTTTTCATTTCATTCTCAATAATTGTTGATAGCAGGTATGGGGACATAGATTTAGAAGAATGAATGCATTCAGACATCACAGCTGTTACTACAGAGGTATGCACAGGTAGAGTAAAAACAGATATGTAGGGTCAAAATGAAATTAAACTGTTTGATAAATAGATATCACTTGAACTAAGTCTAGATAGATAAAAGCAGATGTGAAAAGTAGACTGTTTCATGACAAAGAACAATGTAAAAAAAAAACTAAAACTTGAAATATCTTTTTGAGTTTATAGAAAATGTACCAGTTTTGGAATGGAGAACAGGATCCTGGGAGTTGAAAATGGATGCTGAAAATAAAAATAGAGATATCCTGAGAGTTTAAATGAATGACAGGACTGCCTTGTTAATGGTGTACCAAAGAACCTCAACAACTTTATGAGCCATTGATATGCTTTAAACACAGGAGGGTGGAGATTGATTTTAACTTACAAAATTATAGATCACCTTAGGAACATTTTGGAAGGTGGATGGAAAGGACCAAGGTTGGTTTCAGGGCACCAGCTAGGTTATCATATCAGGCTTATTTGAGATAGAATCTGTATAGTTCAGGGATTTGTTCATTTAACAAGCATGTGCCAAGTTATGTGCTAAGTTCAAGGATCAATGTCCTAAGCAATAACAACAACAACAGCAACAGCAACAACAGAGAGAGAGGATGTAGAGGATATTGCCACTGAGTTAAGACCCGAAAAGTGAGAAGATATGGGATATGTCAGGTGATGAGTAAAGGAGTTGAAGTCTACTCCTAGCAGTGGTACATGGAGATGTTGAGTATTTAGGGGACTCAAAAAAGTCTTAAATTGGAAAAGGAATTGGACTTTGGGAAGAAAATGAAGCACAGAGTTCTGACAGTTACATAGACAGCCTGAAATTAAATAATACCAATTGCTTTTCTGTTTTCACATTCTTTAATCTCAGCCCAGCTCTCTCAAATAGGTAACACTAACCTTTTATACATGTAGGTTTGTTTGGTTATAATTAAATTTCTTAGTTGAATTTTAGTAGAATATTATGAATTACATAGGTAGCTTTAAGTGAATTATTGAATAGTTAGGTACAGAAGAATTAATTTGGATTTTCTAGGTTATATTTGTTTTCATTTCTTCAGAAGACAACATAGTTTCCATCTAACTACAGGTTAAGTAAGGTCATAGTGCTTTTCACATTCACTTTTTTTCCCCCTTACTATCCTGAAGATCAAACCCAGGGCCTCATGCATGTTAGGAAAGCTCTCTACCTCTTAGATACACTCCCCACCTGGACAGTGAATCTTTCCACCTTTGGGAGTTAACAACTTACAAACATGAATCATGCCACTCCATCATGCATTGATTTTTGGCAAAAATTACTGTGAAAATAACATGGTTTAAAGACCCTTTGTTGGCATGAGCAAACTGGCCCCATGAGGAATAGCTCATAAGAAAATATTTTGAAAAATATAATGGTCAGTTACAGATAGAAGACAGGCAGAACTGATTTCTGTCTTCTGTGCTTGGGAAGCTCTTTCATAAAAGTCTAGCTTTTCTCCTCCATGTAAATTCACCTCTGAGAACTGCTAGCATCCTTTCTACATTCTATTCTGGTGACTTTTCTTCTTTTGGAACCAACACTCTGCATCCTGACTGTGGATGGTTTGTTTAGACATCTACTTAGCCTTGCTTAAATGTATGCTTTATTTTGTGCTGTTGCTTTTGGAAAATGCCTGCACTGCTCTGTAAGGGGTCATCATAGGAGGAGTTATTTTGATGACTTCAAATACCACATGTATGTGGTATACCATCCTTTAATAAGTCATTAAAACAAACAAACAAACAAAAACTAAAACTGGACTTTTTTAATGTCAATAGAAGCAATTTCTGCAAGTCCTATTTTCAGCAATAGAAATATCTGACTAAGGCTTTAAAGTTTTGCTGAGAAATGTGTATAACTTAAGTCCAAGTTTTAGGTGAAGAACATAGGCATGGAACAAATTTTGTAGTTAAGTATTTAGATATGCATTTGAAGATAGTAAGATAGAGTATGCAGTATACATGTTTATATATTTGGCACAATGGGTTCTCGTTAGATGCCGTTTTCCATTTGTTTCTATCCTACAAATATCAAAACATAATTCTTTCAAGTCCTTCCAAACAACTTTATATGTGGGAATATATTTTATGTTTTGTACTAAAAAATTGATAGCATATCTGAGATGTGAAATTACTGTTTTTCATTTTATGGTATAGAAACAAATACTATCTCAATAAGCAGAAAAGAGAGCAAATGTTGGAGCACAACAGACTTGTGTGGATCCTAACTCCAACACATTCCATCTCTGTCTTTTTGCAAGTCACTATGATCCTCAGTTTTTCATTTGTATAATAGTAATAATTATAGTTCTCAGGGTGTAAGAATTTTAAAAAAGTATACATAGATAAGTATGTGTGTGTATACACACATAGCATGCACACACATTCAATGCCTGGCATTTACAGATGCCCTGCATTGATGATCAGTAAAGTTCTTACCATTTTTCTTATCCATCATTCTCTCCCTGCCATGTTCACTGACATGGTTGTTCTAAACCTCTGTCATTCTTTTTGCTTCCTCAAGTTCTTATCACACCCCATTTCATGGAAAAGATCAATGCATTACAGCCTGGATTCTCCAAGCTTTTCACTCAAATACCTTGGAATTTCTTGATTAATTTTCCTAAAACAAACCATACTTATATCCATTATCTCTCCTCTGCAAAATCCTACTCATCTCTCTTCAAGTTCTCCATTTCCTCTCTCCAGTTTCCCTTCCTATGATTCAGCTTGCTGCCACATCCCCTCTCTTCCTCAGGCAAAGTGGCTTTCTATTTATTCTTTGTTCTGTACTCTCCTGCTTGTCCACACTGGCTAGTTTCAGGAACTGCTTCATTATTGAGGGGCTTTTATTTCATGTGAAAGATAAACCAAATCTTACTAAATGATTAATCTCAAATATCATAGGCTATTTTCAGGCTCTGCAAGCCTCCATGTGGCTCAACAAATGATGCATTAAGTCACCTATTCTGGAACTGTACAATATTCAGCCAGGAAATTTACTTTCCCCTGAAGTTGCTTTTTGTATCTTTGCTATTTAGTTTGGTTGCATATCTAAATTATTCATATCTCATGCCCCACTCAAGTTGTTCTTTGGTACTTATAAATTGCATAAAGAAAGAGCACAAGATTTTATTGAAATTGTAATAATCATGAAATTTCTCATTACTTGGGTGAAAAACTGTATGACTGAATTTTAGACCACATTCAGTATGTGTAGTTTGAATAGGATTGTTAAAATTTCTAATCATGATGGCTTCTAAAGGAAAAAATAGATAAAACTCACTCAGTGTCATTCAAAAGGACTTTGTCATGTAATCCTTCCCTTATCAAATTTATACAGTTGAGTAATGTGAAAGTCAATTCAGAATGAATGATTTAATATTAAGTATTAATACTAATATTTTAATAAAATGGAAGATTGTCAGTTCCTTTTTATCTTCATTTGGAAATGGAGGTAATAATCCATGTTTCAGGATATAAAATAGGATCTGATAAAACATTAATCTATAACTAAAGAAGATGAAAGACCTGAGCTGTACCTTTTTGTTCTCTTCATCCTGATATTTGCCATTTTATTGTTCTAAAATGCAAGAGATACCCTGAATCAAAATTACTGTAACTATGAAAATTATTTTACTTAAAAAAAAGATTATAATCTAAATACAGATTGAATAAAGTACTCATTAATATACTTTTGGTAGCCAATATGTATTCTTTATTCTTATCCACTTCAAGTTACTTAGTATGTCAATTTTATAGCATTGCTTTAAAAGAATGAGATGTTGATCAGATGCAGTGGCACACGTCTGTAATCCCAGAAGCTCTGGAGGCTGAGACAGGAGGATTGCAAGTTCATAGACAGCCTCAGCAACGTTGAGGTGCTAACCAATTCAGTGAGACCTTGTCTCTAAATAAAATACAAATTAGGGGGATGTAACTTAGTGGTCAAGTACCCCTGAGTTTAATCCCCAGTCCCACCCCCCAAAAATGAGATGTTATTTAATTTCTTCCGGCATAATAGGTATTTTAATTATGAATTTTATTTAAAGTGTACTGAAAATTATGAAAAAGGCAAAAGTATCTGTTTTAAATATATCTTAAACATAAGTTTTTAAATTTTTTTTATTCTTAATCCTTAATTCAGAAATTGGTTCCATAAAAATTTTGAACACCATTTGGAGATAGTTGTCAATATATTGACAGATATCTTTTTAGATACTGTTATATCCAAAAACATGTTTTCCTCACATGTCAACCACTGGCACCTAATTATATAAATTAATGAGACATTCTGCATTTTTAATATTAGTCTATTTTTAATCTCCTTAGATTATTCTCAGAAGACATCCTCCTTTTGCTGTTTGCCATGAACTTGCTTATTGCAAAGAAACATTATGAACTTTGTAAAAATATACAAAGATTTCTACTGTGCATTATTTCTTCTTGAAGGCATGTACTTGAAGTATCCCCATGTTCATCATTCTAATTATTCTGACATATTCAATCAACATATCGGTGTCTAGCTCTTGCTGTCCATACAGCTATGTTTTAGCACTGGAGATAGAGCTCAGAAAAAGATGAGAGACAGAACTCTGTGTCCCTGTGGAACTTATAGGAGGTTAATTATTTCAGAGCAACCTAGACTTACCCTTTAAAAACTATATGACATTCACATTTGTAATAATAACTTGTCAGTTTGATTTGAATTTCATTTCAGTAATTGTGTGATGGGTTTTCTTCTGGTTCTTTAAAAATCACTGTCTTATGAGAGTAACCAGGTTTTCCTTGGACAGATGTGTTGGTATAAAGTTAATGTGAACCTGCTGACTGAAGATCTTTTTTGGCCCTAATGTTTTAGGGTTCTCCCACCATGTCTTTCTAGAAGGGGACACGCAGCCCCAAGAGCGACTGATCAACCAGTCATTAGGGGAAAACATCCCGCTCGCTCAAGGTCGAGTGAGCACTCTAGTGTCAGAACACTGTGTTCTATGCACCACCTTGCCCCTGGAGGGTCGGCGCCACCTTCTCCGCTTCTGACAAGGTTGCTATTCAGTGTCAGCCCAGCATTCATGTCCTGCCTCCGGGTGTTGGTGTGGTGTTGTATCTTCCTGAGCACTCGAAGCTTTCACTCATTATGACACCATAATTTTTAATTCTTTTTCTGTGGCACTTAAACCTCTCCACATCCTCTACTACTTGCATCTATCTTTAATTCTGCCAGTTAGCTATCATTGAAACTTAAATTGACTGTGTTATGTCCTTTCATCTGTTTGTGGCATATTCATATACAATTTATTAATTATGTGAAATTCTGTATGATAAATTATTTGGAATTAAATATGTATTTGCTTTTTAAAAGTGTAAGAGGAATTAAAAAACATAACCTTCCATGTGTTCAGTGAAGTCTTAGAGCATCTTAAAGTTCTTCAGTTAAACAAAAAGTTTGAATGCCAACAGATAGAGGTCAGCTTATTCCTGGACAGTAGTAATGTATCTGCATGCTTCTCAAATTCTCTTTTGTAATTTCAGTCCTTGTATCAATATATTTCATAGCATGTGTCCAGGATTATTTTAAATACCTTTCAAGGTTTTTTCTACTTAAAGTACAAGTGAGTGGTAATTTTGTAAAAGTATCTCCAATTAGAAATATGTCTGTCAGTTTTAAGTAATTCTAATATCAATTTAATAGGAGCACTTTAGGCAACAGCCTCTCATAACTAATTTTTCTATATTTTAAGATCTAAAGGCTGTAATTAGATATGTTTGTTTCAGCACTACCAAACAGGAATAACTTGCCCAGAAAGCACAACTTCATGGAAAGTTAAAAAGAAGTGAATGGATTCAGCTCCATTCAGGAATTTATTATCAAAGCTGTGTGTAGAAGACATTGATCTGTTCTTTTGAGCTCCTTTTGTATTATTCCTTTTACACATAGCATTAAAAAGAACTTGATTTTGCTTCCAATGACCCAGTTAGAGGTTTTATATCTGTTTTAGTAACAGGAAGAAGGGAAAGATTTTTTGTCTGGCTGAATTGGAATTTCATCCCTCCCTCTGTTTTATGCCTGCAGAATGCATCGACAAGGAAGTCCAACCCAGTCTCCTCCAGCAGACACATCCTTCAGCAGTCGCAGGGGAAGACAGCTCCCTCAGGTGCCAGTGAGAAGCGGCAGTATAGAACAAGGTATCCTATATGGAGAGATCCTTGTCCAAAAATCTTGGATTTGAGAACCTCCTCTTTTTATAATCCTTTTATTAAATGAATAATATTTTGGGGTAATATGTAGTTTGCTGAATCCTAAGAAGTTAAATTTCTTAGAATTTTATCCCCAATACCCCAGTGGTTCCTGGTTTTGTTGACCAAGTAAACCAACAAGTTTTAGCTGGTCACATGTCAGAATGGGTGGAGGCCTGCAAACATGGTTTTACAAAGGTAAAATTAGGAGAACCCCAGTGTGATATGGTATTTTACATATTAAAAGAAGATTTGCCTTAACCTATTTTTAAAACATATTTTAAAAATTAAACAGTCATTTTGAATGCTTTACTAGTATTTTTTTAAATTTTACCTTGATTAACAGTATTTTATATTTTTTTATATAAGTTTAAAGATGGAAAGCTGTCTTAGAGCACTTCCTTTAAAGATTCTCTCACTTTGAGCATGTATACATTATTTTCCTAACGGGAGGAGCGAGTGCACATGTGTGTGCATGTGAATGTGTGTGTGATTTGATAGCAGAAACTAAATTTTAAACTACATGAGCCAGATGACTTAAATAGTGGGTTAAAAGAATCAGTATTTATTGTACGCCCCATGTCTCAGTAAGTGACAAGATTTATTAGCATTCATTATCACATATTTCTTATCAAGGATTTAAAAATTATTGAAATAACTTTTATTGAGTGGTAGTGTAAATGCAGTGAACTGATATTTGAACATGCATTGAGAATCTTCCTCCCTGTGAAACAACTGAAAGGTTAACATTTTGAATATTTTTTTTCAACAGTGTTGATTGTTGCTGATATAAAACTTGCATTTCACTCCATATTGAGTGTGCTGGATACATTTCTCTCATTACTCGAAGTGCTTTACTGAATGTGTCACAGAAATGTTAAAGATCTGTGAAGATAAATACTTTGTCTCAAAGACTGATGTGGCATAGTTTGCCATGCAGAATAGTTGATTATAGAAATATAGTGTTGATTTTAAGAGGTATCAACTTATTAATAGAGTAATGCTGGTACAATAAACTCTGAATTTGTATTTTTTTTAAATCATACTTCCTGTTGATATATCATGCTTTAGTTTTTAGGGTTGTTTTAAAGGCATCAATTAATCTGGAAAATATGATACTTTGTGAAATCTGACTTTCTTTTCTAAAATGGCAGTTACTTTATTTAAATTATGAATTTACATGTTTAACAAACTTTTTTGTCTCTTTTCTGGGAACATTTTGAGAGAACTATCTATAATTAATGTTATTAAAACTAACCCAGATGAAATTATTTAACTTTTTAACAAATAAAAACTGGTGTTTATATAAATTATTCTTCCTGAACTCCTGTTGCACAACTGAAAGACTACAGATTTTGGTGTTTGGCTACAGACTTGTTGTTACTGGTTATATTGATACTGAAAAAGTCATGTGCTCCTAAAATTCTTTGCATTTCCTCTAGTTGCAAGTAAAACACTCTACAGGTTCAAAAGCATATAATGGTACTGCATATAATTCTCAATGACAAGATTATAGTTGTGTTACTTCCATAGAAATAAGAATTGCTTCTGCAAAATTGGTTGGATTGTATGTTGGATTTTTTTATTTTTAAAAGTTCATGTTTTGTTAAAATCAGTGTTACTCTTTATGATATTTATATTCACAGTTGTCTTTCAGAGAAATCATCAATATTTAAGGATTGAGATGAGGTGGGAAGAAGGGAATAATTGAGAATGACAATTACTAATTTTTTTGTTTTGCTGTTTAATATCACAAATACACTAGTGAACACTTTTGGTCATTTGAGGTTCTTGAAATATAAGATCTTAAAAGTCATATAGATATAGTTTTTGTAAAATGTAAAAAGAAGTATGTATTATATATAAGTGTTCTTTTTCTACAAACATATTTATGGTGTACTTTATGATGTTAATATATGTATTTGGGACTTTTGGTACATAATACCATACTGTCTGCCACCATATTATTATGGATTTATGTCAAACTGAACAGCTCATATGATAGCTATATTTGTCCTAAAATATATTTTCAAAGGTAAATTTTTAATTTGATTAATAACCTAGGTAAGATTTTAGCACATGCTATTTAAGATTGATTGCAATGTTGTTCTTGAGGCTATAGGATTATTGTTATTTTTTTATTTTCCTATTATTTGTTTAATTTAGTTTTATCTTATGTGAAGATCGATATCAACTGCAGTTAATTTGTAATTGATTAATTTTCTCCTGCATTTGACTGACTTTTTGTCTCTTTTTAATTTTTTTTTTTATTTTTAACAAAGAGTGGTTTTCTGATTTCGTTTTTTGTTTGTTTCTTTCTTTCTTTTAGTGGAGTTGATTAAAAGCTGATTGTTATGACCCAATATTTCAAATGGTTTATATTCCTGGATAGCTATACAACTTTTTGATGCACTTCTAAAATAACTTTTTTCATGTGGTTTCTGTATACTGTTATATATATATCATTGTTTCTAGTATGTATGTCAGGAAAATTTGATTGACTTGGTATGTTTTTTTCTTATAAATAAGATTTACTTTACACTCCTTGTACCCTAAAATCAGTATCTCTTATTTTAAAAGGCCAAAATAACATTTGAACAGATTGCTTAATTTTTAAATAAAAGCATTTTTAAAGTGTCTTTTAAAAATGGGGCAGTGGAGGTGGGCGTGGTGGCACATGCCTGCAATCCCAGTGGCTCAGGAGGCTGAGACAGAAGGATCTCAGGTTCAAAGCCAGCCTCAGCAACAGCAAGGTGACTCAATGAGACCTTGTCTCTAAATAAAATACAAAATAGGGTTGGGGATGTGGCTCAGTGTTGAGTACCCCTGAGTTCAATCCCTAGTTCTCCCCATCCCCAAAATGGAGAATGTTAGCCTACTTGCTACATGAAATGTCATTGTTACAATAGATTTGGGTGAAAAGCAAAGAGATGATTACAGTACATGTTTTGAGATAAAGATAAAGAAAATGTAGGTTGTAATATAGAAACTCTAACTAGTATGTGAAAATACAGTGGGAAGACTTCAATAAAATTTCCTCAATTGTATTTCAACATTGTATTCTAATATACTGAGAATACAATGTATTCTTATGTAAAGGGACTAATGCCAACATAATCAGTTATATAAAAATATATAGTTCTCTAGCTGATTTTGGTGGTGTACACCAGTACTCCCAACTGTTCAGGAAGCTGAGGCAGGAGGATCGTTTGAGCCCAACAATATGAGGCCAGCCTGGGCAACATAGAAAGACCTTGTCTCCAGGAGGAGAAAAAAAAAATGTATGGCTTTCTAAACCCAATCAAGTGATTTTTTTTTGCTTGTATGTTTGCTCAAATGGATGTCTTTAAAGACGTATTTAAAGATCATTCATAAATTAAGAGTGGTGTGCCAATTGTTTTATGTTTCATTATTACATCTGCTACCTGAAACTCTTATGATATTTCCTTTTATAAATCTCTAGATAGGATAGTAAATAGTGTACTGACAGTGAGATAACTTAGATATTATGAAATATCTGACAATAGTTTCTAAAATCCAAGTAATTTCACTTTGGGATATTTATATATAATTAATTTGAGAAAGAAGAAAGAATTACTTAAATTAGAATATATTTTTCTATGTAGAAAATGTTACAGAATAGTTTCCATAGTACAGAAAAAAGCATACTTTTAGTAGAACTAAGTTTATTTTACCATATGCAATTTCAAATCATATGAATTTATATCATTTTGTGATATAATTCTTATGAATATTAACTATGCTTTTAAATACATTTACATTAAAAGACAATGTAAATACATTTACATTAAAAGTTAAGAGTATTTTAGTAATATTGGTGCTAACGTGCAATACTTTAAAGGCAAGAGAAATACTGTTGCATATACTTTTCAAGTTATTGATACATACTTTTCATGAAAGCATATTAATATCCCAATTTTTTGTTTCATTTAAAATCTTTAAATTGCTGTATTCATTCTTCCTTTGATTGATTTTAGCACCATATTTGAGGTTTCCTCATGGTTTATCATTGCAATTGATCATGTCACATTATTTGTTATGCATTTTTATTATTCATGCCATTGTGTTAATTCACATTTCCATGTCTAACTATAAATTTGCTGATTTCTTTCTTTTGTTTCCATCATTATGTGCATGTAATTCATTGAAGAACAAGAAAAATATAACTCTTCCACAAAAGGTAAATATTAATGTAACTTTTTAAACATTTAATATTTTTACTTTTCTTTTATAATATACCAGAGTTATATAGCTGTATTAATGGAAATAATGAGAAAATTATTTAGTTATTTCCCTGAAATGATTTTGTAAGGGACTTGGTATTATTTTATATTATGTGCTGTTCACATCAAAGAGAAAAACATTACTTTAAGAACAGTTTTATCTACATTGACAACTAGAAAACAATTCTCTTTAGAAAAAATAATATATAATATTATATATATTGATATTATATAACCACATAATAAATTTTTTATTTGCTTATGTTTTTTTTTTGTTTTCATTTCCCTCTTCTCATAGACAAAGGATTTTATTCTTACCTTCTCTTCAGATAGTATCTGTTGTGAAGGAGCAGCAAATCCCTGGATTTTACCTTCCAGGTAGCAGGAACCTTAGTTAGTATTCTAACCCCACTGCAGTCCTGCCTCGGAAAAGCTGCTACCTAGGTAGGAAATATCATTATGATACTCATTGATTCCTTATTTCTGAGAGATGGAGGAAAGAAAACCTAGTTAGCCTGCTATATTAATATATCACTGACCTCTTTATTGTCTTTTGAATCACATTTTATGTTTAGTATTTGCACTTGAGTTTCAAAACCAACCAGTTGCAGGCCTCACCCACACTTAATACACAGCCCACACCATGTCTTGCTCAGTATTATGGTTGGCCTGAAAATATAATATTCAAATATGAGTTTTTAACCTAATGTAATAATGTTATAGTAATGCCTAAAATTATATAATGCTGCATAGTTTAATAAAGGTACTTTTATTCAGTATTTGAAAGGGGATTGAGTTAATTTGTTATCCATAGTAATCCTCAGAGCTGGTGCTGATAATAGCATCATCTCTGTTTTGTGAATGAGGAAACTGAATTTCAGAGTGATTAAGCAATTTTCCCATTCACATTACTGATCAGTATTAGAATACAAGGGTGATGTTTTATTTTGACCTCCTTCCATTTCACATGGGTACATACAGTTTTAATAAGCACAAATTCCAAATATATTATCTCTAACTCAGTGAATCTGAGACTGTGTTATGTGACTCACAATTATAAAGGGAAAATTGCAAATGATATTCAATTACCTATTTTAGTTTGAATTCATTAAAATATAATTATATCTATTTTCAGACACATAATACATGTATGTATTCTGGCATAAAGTGTAACATACTAGACAATAAATAGATATTAATAAAAATAAAATATTATTCAATGATATCAAGATGTTTTAATACCTAAATGTCATAGACTTATGGCTAACATCTTAAGTTTTTAATTGAAGTGTCAGAAAGAATTTCATATTTAGTAATACAAAAGTGGGCAATGTATTTCTTCTTAGATTCAGAAGTTAGATTTCAAAGATAAATTTTAGTGTGATAAGAATTTTATATTGTAAATAGGTCACAAAGTAGTTTATTTATCCAAAAGAAAGAAAGTCTATAATTATTTATTCAGGGCTTTTTCTTTATTATTAGCCCAAAGCTATAATTAGCCAGTCAAAACAAAAGTTCATAAGTGATATGAAATTTGCATGAAATGTGCATATTTATGACCTTGCTATAGAGCATGGTAAATTGTTAGTTTTTTTATTCATAAATAAGGTAAGTATATTCTGTGTGAGAGGAGCTGTCACCCTGCCAAGTCTTCCTTGGAGAGAGGATGTAGCAGTGCCTCATAGAACAGACCATATAGCTGGAAGCAACATAAAGGGGCACATCCCAAATGCATATAGCAAGATAGAAAGCTGCAAAGAAGGCTGTACTTTCCCTCGGAGATTTAAGGCTACACAGTTAGTCACCAAAAGTGACTTTTAAAGCCCAGAAAGGGTACGAGAAAGTTCAAAAAAAATGTTCACAGTCATATTTTAGGCTCAGATATCTAAAGAATGAGAAGGTTCACAATATAGAAATCCCACTGCTATGAGCTGTGTCCCTCTTTTCTGACACTATCATTTGGAAAATTCAGGTTATTGTGAGTGCTTGCTCCCTGGATAAATGAGATTGGGACACACCATTCCTAGCTGACTGTATGGGCCAAGAATTTCAATAGTTTGGTTTGTTTTCGATGATATATAGATGAACTTGTCAGACAACCAGTGGCTCCAGTTTGTCAGTGATAGAAAGGTTTCCTGGGATGCAGGATAATATCAGGCAAACTGGATACCCTGACCACAGGGGAACAATTTTTTAATTTTCCAGCATATATTTGTAAGGTCACATAAAGAGAAGTATAAAATGCCATTAACATTATCAATATAGTATTCATTATTATATTAATAGATAGTATTGAGTATGTTTTATAAGTTGATGTCTTAGCTGAGAATATTATATATTTTTCTATTATATTTTCTCAGGAACCTGAGACATAACAATTAATATCAACATTTTCTAACTAAGAAATAAGCCTTCTAAAGATTAAAAACTTGGCCCATTATCGGTCATTCTTTTGGTAGATGGTAGGACAGGGAACTAGAAATAAGCCTCCCTCCAAAGGCTTCCTTTTTAACCACTTTGCTTTAGAGGCTCTCCAGCATGAAGACAGAGTTTAATGAGTACTTACTGTGCATGCATCACAATGTAATTACGGGAACACATGTTTTACAGAAATAGAGTCAAAGGGGTTTAGTAGATTGCCTAGGGTAATAAAGCATCTATGTGGAAGAATCAGATTTTGATGCCGCAGCCTATATTCTGTCCCCTGTACCATGTTGCTGTAGCATCCGCCTCTCACAGCACCAGGATTTTGGAGAAGGCCACTTAATCCTTACCTTTCCCTGATGACCCAGTTTTTCACCACTCAACACAATCTATACCTGAAGTGCCCTTAAATTGCCATGTAGCTTGAGAAACAAATCCAATGTATTTGAATAGACAGTACATCCTTGGACTTGATGAGTTAACTGAGGACCAGTCAACATTCACACAACTTCATTTACTTTTAACTTCTTTTATGGTGAAAATTGAGAGACCATATTATTTTAGGCTTCACAGACTGCTTTTAGGCCTATTTTAAATTATGCATTCTAAAAGTAAGCCAATTTTTCCATCTCTGCTACATTTCTTGGACAGTTTTAAAGAGCCCATGAATGTAGTTTGGGGGCATCGAATTAATGATATAAGAAGATCAAAACTGAACCAGAAATTAAATGACTTCAAGGTGAGAAAAAATGTTATTATCATAATGAATTTCTAATTTATATGCCTTAGATACTATTTCTTAAGTTCACTAACTTTTTGGCTTTTGGAGGCAATTTTAAATTCTAACAAAACATATTTAATTATCTTTTCTACAAATGTGAATTTCCTTTATTATAAAATATGTGTAATATGAATATTGACAGTCAGTTAGACTTTAAATTATTTTAAAAGGACAAATAGTAAGTAGCGTTTTGTTGCTTTTTGTTTTCTTTTTCACAAATAAAATATGTAATTGTAATCAGATCATAGGGGCTATTTAAGAATTGTCTCTAGTTAATTCTATTTTTAAGTACCAGCTTTCTATAATAGATGCTCAAATAAATAACATGTACTTTTCCACTTTAAATGTTGACCAAAACTGTTGGAGTCTATCTTGTGGAAATAAATTATCAGACTATGATCATTGACTTCAATTAGATGCATTTTATGTTAAAAAGTGAAAAACATGAATTTTATTAATTTTATGTTACATTAGTTATTATATAAATGAATTTGAACATTTATTTATTTTAATAGTGTACTGTGATGGTGAAATGTATAAAAACATATTATATGCTTGACTTTTGCTTAAATAAATAAACTAATTTGTGTGCTTTTAGCATCGGTATTGTCTAATTATCTTCAAATAGTACCAAAGTGTTTCAATTTAAATTACATTTTATTATTATTATTATTTAGTAGTAGAATATTGGACCAGGGGAATCATTTCTTTTTATTGTAAGTTAAGTCTTCCAAGGTTTAGGATATAGCTCTGTGGTAGAGTGCTTATGTAGCATGCATGAGTTCCTGGATTACATTTACAGCATAAAACAAAACTAAACAAAAAACTGTTTTAAGGTTCAAGTTTTTTATTCTTCCAAAACATTGCTTTTCTTGAACAGTGAATATGAATATTTTTGAAAAAATATTCAGAGCTCTACTGTTTAGAAATTTATTAGTAAAAGACTGTCCCTTTCTGTTTTTTGTTTTGTTTTGTTTTGTTTGCCACAAACCCACAAACACAAATGCAGAAATCATTCTAGCCTTCTCTTTAAGCATTGAGGCTCTTGTGTGCAACAGCCCATTTTGGAAATTATGGTTTTGATCTTATTTTCCCATTCTGCTAATTGAAACATGTCATAGTCTTTAAAGCTAGTATCATAGTATCATAGTCTTTAAAGCTTCCAGGATTTATCATGTGACCAATGACCCTTAACTTACAAGATACACCCCAAGAGGGATTTCATGACTTTCCCTTTCTTCCTGAGCTTTGTAGAGAAAGTACAGAAGAAACTAAATGGCAAGCAGGCAATCATTAGATGGGTAGGTTCTTTGATGTATTTTCTCTGAAATCGAATGTGTCCCCTAATTAATTTAAAATATGGGAAGAGATTGTCAAAAGTCAAAGTTGAATATAGCAAAGTTATGCCAAATGAAAATTTTCAAGATAGATCCTGTTGTCATTAATGTTAATGAAATAATAAAAAGTGATGGATAAACATGGTAGAGATCCCTTGGGTGAAAGGTGACTTCCTCAGTGTTCCCCCAGGGAAGCCTAATTACACAGGCCACTCTTTGTCAAAATTATATTAGGACTGTCTCTTAAGGAAAACAGTGCTCCTTCTCAAAACCTAAATGTGTTTTGAAGAGCTATTTAACCCAGAAAAGCACAACAGGTCAGGTAAATGACAGTTTCATTTCATTTTTTGTTTTTTTAAATCTACAGAGGACTAGAGTTTTTGGTATTACTCTGGACTTTGACAGTTTTAACAGG